GGAGGACCACACCTTTGCTTTTAAGGTGGGCCAAGTGGATGCCGTCCTGGCCAGCGAGGTGAGGGAAAAAGGTCTCATGGTTGATACAGGAGCCACGTCGCATATCATCCGGGACATGACACAGTTCAAGGACTTTGATGAAAGTTTTGAGCCACATAAGCACATCCTAGAGCTGGCTGATGGAGAGAGGACCAGCGGTATCGCCTTGAGGAAAGGTACGGCCAAAGTTCGCCTGAGAGACAACAATGGTCAAGTGGTGGAAACGATGCTGATGGGGGCGTTGTACGTCCCATCTTTTCCACAGGACATCTTCTCAGTCAAGGCAGCGACGTCCCAGGGAGCGACGGTCATTTTCAAAGAAGGTCAGAACAGACTTGTTCATAAGAACGGTGTAACATTTGACATTCAGGTGTATGATAGACTGTTCTATTTAAGCACGGTTACAGACGATGTTGATCAATGTCATGTATGTTACGATATCCACACATGGCATGAAATTCTTGGTCACTGTAATTATGAGGATGTGTTGAAGCTGGAAAATGTCACAAAGGGGATGAAAATTAAAGGTAGAACTGAAATGTCTAATTTAAAATGTGAAGTGTGCATACAGGGAAAGTTTGCTCAGAGCAGGAACAGGGAGGCAGATGAAAAAGCAAAAGTTCCCCTTGGACTTGTGCACACAGACTTAGCTGGACCTATGGAGCCGGTAGCAAAAGATGGTTTCAGGTATATCTTGGCCTTTACTGATGACTATTCAGGTGCAATCTTTACATATTTTTTGAGAGCAAAGAGTGATACAGTCAAAGGAACCGAGAAGTTCATTGCTGATGTTTCACCTTATGGTAAAATTAAATGTATGAGATCTGATAATGGCACCGAGTTTACATCCAGGGAATTTCAGTCCCTGCTCAGCAAAAATGCAATTAGACATGAAACCTCAGCTCCCTATTCACCCCATCAGAATGGGACAGCTGAGAGGAGCTGGAGAACTTTGCTTGATATGGCAAGGTGTATGTTAATCGAGAGTAGCTTACCAAAAATGTTATGGACGTACGCAATCCAGACTGCAGCTGTTATTCGCAACAGATGTTATAACAGACGTGTAGAACAGACCCCATACTATATGCTGACTGGAAAGAAGCCTGATCTTTCAAGAATGAGAATATTTGGGTCAGAGTGCTATGCATACAAACAGAACAAGAAAAAGTTAGACTCTCGATGTGAAAAAGGGATTTTCATTGGTTATGACAAGAATAGCCCTGCATATCTAGTTTTCTATCCAGACTCAGGAAAAGTGAACAAAAGTAGGTTGGTGGAGTTTATCACAAAGAGTGGGACAGAATGCCACACTCAGACAGATCAGTTAACGTGTGAAGATGATGTGCGTAGGGAGAGCGCCGAAACTCACCTATCAAAACCTGAGAAAATAGAATTAATAAATCCCCAGGACATAAGATCTGAAACGTGTGACCCAAACCCCAACACAGGTGAAAGGGAAAGTGTTGAGAGCAGGCGTTATCCACAGAGAGAGAAGAGGCCTCCACAGTATTTGAGGGATTATGAGTGTGGAATAAAATGTGATGATGACCATGCACTAGCCAGTATTGATTATTGTTATAGAGTTGCATGTGATGTACCCCACACTCTAAAGGAGGCTATAAGTTCACCAGAGTCAGAATTGTGGAGTAAGGCCATGCAGGAGGAGATGAACTCTCTTAAGGAGAATGATACGTTTACCCTTACAACACTACCTGAAGGTAAAAATATAGTGGGAGGCAGATGGGTCTACACATTGAAGGAAAACCCAGTTGGGACAACATACAAAGCTCGGTATGTGGCGAAGGGGTATAGTCAAGTTGCAGGCATTGATTATAATGAAACTTTTTCTCCAACTGCTGACATGACATCAATACGTAGTTTAATGCAAATTGCAGCTCAATATGGTTTAGAACTGCATCAAATGGATGTAAAGACTGCATATTTGCACGCCCCTATTGATACTGAATTATATATGGAACAGCCAGAAGGGTTTGAGGTCAAGTCAGAAACAAGTGAGAGGCTTGTCTGTAGACTTAACAAATCACTCTATGGTTTGAAACAGTCAGGGCGGAATTGGAATAAAATGCTAGATGATTTTCTGATTCAAAATGATTTTATTCAAAATCCTGCTGATCATTGTGTTTACAATAAACAAATTGGAGGTGAGAGAATCATACTGATAGTCTGGGTTGATGATCTTCTTATTGCAGCAAGTGATAGTCAGATACTCAGAAATGTGAAAAGAATGTTGGAGGAAAGATTTAAAATGAAAGATCTTGGTAAACTTACACATTTCCTGGGTATTGATTTTGCACAAGGAGATGGTGAGATAAAAATGAACCAGAAAAGGTTCATTATTAAGATTTTGGAGAGGTTTGATATGATTAATTGTAAACCAAGGTCAACTCCATGCGAAAACAGAATGCAATTTGATAATGAAGGTGAACGTGTTGATCCAAAGCGGTATCGAGAAGTGGTTGGTAGCTTGATCTATCTAATGACTTGTACTAGACCAGATCTAGGTTTCATTGTCAGTAAGCTGTCACAACACTTTTCTGAACCAAAGAACCAACACTGGGTAGCAGCTAAGCATGTATTGCGATATTTAAAGGGAACTGTGAACAAGGAATTGTCTTATAGGAGAAATGATGTAAATCTTAATCTCTTTGCATTTAGTGATGCTGATTGGGCAGCAGACCAAAATGATAGAAGAAGTACAACTGGTTACTGTTTTGGTTTGTCTGCCACTGGTCCTGTTATTTCTTGGAGATCTAAGAAACAATCCACAGTTGCTCTTTCCACATGTGAGGCGGAGTATATGGCTTTGGCAGCTACTGCACAGGAAAGCCTATATCTTGTCCAGTTATTAAACAAAATGGACAATGAATGTGTTTACACACCAGTGACAATTTATGAGGACAATCAAGGGGCAATTGCTTTGTCAAAGAACCCCATATGCCGTCAAAGGTGTAAACATGTTGACATTAAGTATCATTTTGTTCGATCTGCACTTGAAGATGGAAAGATAACTATTGAATATTGTCCTACAGCAGCCATGGTTGCAGATATTCTGACCAAACCTGTAACCAAAGTCATGCTTGATAGATTTGTGTGTTTTATTTTTGGTGTGATGTAAATGTACATGATAAATGTATGTTATTCAGCCTAAGAGCAAGTGGGGGTGTTGAACATTGGTGACCTTGAATGTGCTCTTATTATGACTGTTGACTAAGGGGGTGTGAGTCTAAGGGGTGTGGTTCGTTCATAATGTTTTTCAGGTGTTCCAATTTAATAAAATGACTGCATGCTCCTGTGTGAGTGTGCACGACAGTCAAACGAAACCCGATGGCTCCGTGAGTTTATTCCTCCGTCATGTTTTAGCCGGTTTTCTACCCTTTATGTTATGATGGCGAACTCAACAGTATGTTATAATTATTCATATGTATGCAGTGTCATAACTACATCTCTGACATTTATAACAAACCAAACCGTTTGAAAATCGGTAGAAAATTGAGCAAGTTATGGTTATTTAAAAGTACATGCACCATTAAAACACAATGTTACGAGTGAGCGAGCTGCCTGTGACAAGATGGCCGCCACGTGCGGATGTCGACCTCCATTGGGCAGCAGCGCGGACGAGAGATCTAGCCTTTATTATATGATATCTATGTGTATAACAGCTAACTAGATGTTTGTTTTGATACAATAAATTGTAAACTAATACGTTGTTTGCCTGTTGCTATGGTTACTCACAGCTGATGTAGCCAGCGCATTTATTTATTAATTTCTAACGGTAAACAGTCAGTTTCACCAGAACCAAAGAACGTATATTGACAAGAAGTGAAAGCCAATAGAACGTCCCATTGCAACACCAGCGCCCAGCAGCAGCCCTACGCATCCGCCATTTTGGGGTGAAAGCGACTCGGCAGTCATATATTATACATATATTTAGTCCAGTGCAGAGGTCATTTTTAGGTTGAAATAATTAGGTGATTATTTTAACTCACAACAGTTAACATTATAGCAGTTAAAAAGAAGTTGCTACTTAACCAGGCCTTTTCCCCCACATAACTTGAGACAGTGAATTTCAAGGATTTAATAACGTTATGTTACTCTCCATATTAAGTGTGACAGGTAAGAATAAAGTGATATCAGTTCATATAGTTAGAATAACGTTAGACCGTTTTCCAGAAAGGTACACATAACGTTACATACAAAAATAAGTTATCAATGAAATATTCACCAAATAAATTGTACTAAAATGTAAATGTTGGACCATAAATAAACAGCAATAGAATAGCTTTACAGTAAACTGTTTTTTGCAGTACTATCTTATATTAATGACCATTAAAGCAAGACTATGTAAACAAAAAAACACAGCCACTGTCCAAAGTGGTAAAGGATAACGGACACAGCAATGCGTCATGTTCTATAAGATCATCATGTTTGTAGCATGATCCAGGGGATTAAAACGTACAAAATATATTTCAGGCCTAGTGGAGTTGGTAACTAATAATAGTAGTAAATGTGTAAAGTTGCATAAAATGGAAATACTCACTAATGCAAGAAAAAACTACCTCAACAAACTGTTATCTGTGCTCTTGTCCAGCAACTCCAGTTGGAATTTTCACCCCAAAATGGCGGCCGCGCTACCGAAGCGCCACCTAGTGGCTGTTACCAAAAAAGCATCAGAGTTTCGCCTCTTGTTCTTCTATACTCTTTGCCAGAACTCCTTTACTAGGTGTCCTCTATCACTTTTTAATGGACACCCTGCAGCCAATCAGAATCGAGTATTCACCAGACCATACTATAAATACTATTATAAAATGTATTCATATTTTTTTTATTTAAACGCTTTTAAACACTGGCATTTTAACCATTTTGCAGGTGTTTTCAATAACTAATAGCTTAACAACAGAACATATTATAATAGTAGCATTACTGTGTGTTTTTGTGAGCAGGTTCAAGCTAAAGGAGGCGTGCTGACAGAGGATGATTTCAAAAACTACTCCACCATCATACAGAAGCCACTGCAAACTCTTTACCAGGGTAAATACCCATCGGTTTATAGCAAGCAGCTCTACAAGAGCCGACGAGTCTTTGAAATGTCTGTCTGTGGCCGTTTATCACCTGATTTACTGCAGTAGTTTAGCTCTGTTGCCCTTCACAGCTGCGAAGCAGAGACTGCCAACAGTAGAGCACTAAAACACCCTTCTGCTTTAGCCTGTATCAATTTCATAAGTAGTGCACAATTATTGTTGTTGCTTGACTACTCAGAACTGGGTGGACGAGAAATGCAAGGGGAAGTTCAGCAGTATTTTATAAAGTACACAATAGTCATTCTAAGGGAAGTATCTGTATGGAAATTGGCTAAAAGTTAATACGTAGTCCATGGAAAACATACTAATGTATTAAAGTAACTGATATTAGTTAATGTACAATGTAATCCATAAATAATGGCTGAGCTCTTTATGGCAGTATAATGGTGTAACTGGCCACCTCGACCTGTTGGGTTTCACTGATTCATTGAAAACACACCTTTTGTTCACACATCATCACTATCCCTGAGCCATCCGAGTGTTGTTGTTCGCAACCGGGAAAAGAAACACTCGAAAAAGAAGAAAGATTGTTTATTAAGTCTAAGTCAACACCAACATTTACTCCTGTACAATAACTGAATGTTTCAACTTTGTTTCTCTACGTCTCTACTATTCCGACGCATGGATTATGGTAAAGGTCTATTGTTTCCCTTTTGAAGTCTACATGTGAGAACAACAGAGTATAAACTCTATAAAATGCAAATAGTAAAATGAGCAACATAAATTGGGTCGTTCCATTTCTGACTTCTGATGAAATGATCTGTATTTGAAGGCGTTGTTAAATGCACACACACTTGTGTGTTAATGTGCCAAGTTCATGTCTTACTTGGCAACCCTAAACAAAATACAGTTGCCTACTGAAGTTTTATTTTATTTTCTAAGAACTGTGGTACAATCACTATAATGGACGGTTTCGCGTGGCTTATTGCTTTATGAAGAAAAATATAACTGCACACACTCAATTAAAAGTTTATTTTTTAGCAACGGTGCGGCAACAAGCGCTCCAATTCTCACTGTTAACTAGTTGCTTATTAGCATGCAAATTACTGGGTCATCATTAGTTAACCCTCTAATGTTCTTCATTTGGGGTCTCCAGGGACCCCAGACAATAACATGTAATTTTGTAACAGAATAATAGTTTTTTTTTTTTACAAATGTAATTTTACTCTGTTTATTAATGTTTTACTCAACTTTTGTGCAGTTTTTGGAGGATTTATGATATATTTTAAATTTATGTCAATACATTTAAAGTATTTTTTTTTTTATAGGTTTTTATACAAAACCAACTTTTTATGTAAAATTCACTTTATAAAAGACCCAAATTTCAAAATGTCATTTATGGGGATAACATGGATAATTTTAAATGGTTTAGTGTACAAATTTTGCCCATATTTTAGGAAAATTTAGTTTTAAAAGTAAAACATTATAATTTTAGCCACTAGATGGCTATAGAGCTCCACTATATGCTATTTGACTAACTGAAATATATCTTTTCACAAGTTTTTCCAGTTGGATTCATATCTAAATATTATGAAATCACAATTCTAACAATAAAAAATGACCCTTTCTTTGTCAAAGTTTTGCATTTTTTGCACTGAATTTTTTTTTTTTTTTTCACTAATGTTGTCATTACAATGGTAGGTCTAGAAAGGGTTGAGAGCTGTACAAAGTTTCATGCAAAAGTCATTTGCGGGTTAAAAAGACCATGAAGAGCATCAGAGGACTAGACTTCTTCTGCATGGGTGTTATACGATGCTATACTCTTCCTGCAGCCTGTGATGGCTCAGTTCTCCAGTGAGGCCAGGCCTGTCTGCAGCGCAGTGTTACTGACAGGGTGTTTGTGTGTCTCTGACAGGCCAGCGGGTGTTCGTTCCCCCGCCGCCGCACGCCGGAGCCGCCCTCCTCTCCGCGCTCAACATCCTGGAGGGGTTCAACATCACACGCCAGGTGTCCCGGGGACAGATCTACCACTGGGTCGCCGAGGTACGCGCCTCACATTTCACTGGCCGCATTGCTTTCAATAGTGCTGTGTGTGTACTTAGTAATCAGATTATTGTCTGCTTGCTCTTTCCATTATGTGTTTCACACTGACTAAAGAGAGTCCTGTTCTCTTTGATGCAGGCTTTGCAAAAAATGCCTTTCTTACTCAGTATTTTTGTCTTATTTCCAGTCCAAATATCTAAAAACTCTTAAAGGGATACTCCACTTTTTTGGGAAATAGGCTCATTTTACAACTCCCCCAGAGTTAAACTGTTGAGTTTTACCGTTTTTGAATCCATTCAGCCGATCTCCGGTTCTGGCGGTACCACTTTTAGCATAGCTTAGCATACATCATTGAAGTGGACAAGACCATTAGCATTTCTAAAAGAAAAATGACCAAAGAGTTTCGATATTTTTCCTATTTAAAACTTGACTCTTCTGTAGTTACATCGTGCACTAAGACCGACGGAAAATGTAAAGTTGCGATTTTCTAGGCTGATATGGCTAGTAGGAACTATACTCTCATTCCTGCGTAATAATCAAGAAACTTCACTGCCGTACCGTGAGAGCAGCAGGCGTAATGATATGACGCAGCGCCTGAAAATAGGCCACCTTCCGTCAACACAACGGAACTATTTTCAGGCGCTGCGTCATATCATTACGCCTGCTGCACTCATGGTACGGCAGTGAAGTTTCTTGATTATTACGCAGGAATGAGAGTATAGTTCCTAGCCATATCAGCCTAGAAAATCGCAACTTTACATTTTCCGTCGGTCTTAGTGCACGATGTAACTACAGAAGAGTCAAGTTTTAAATAGGAAAAATATCGAAACTCTTTGGTCATTTTTCTTTTAGAAATGCTAATGGTCTTGTCCACTTCAATGATGTATGCTAAGCTATGCTAAAAGTGGTACCGCCAGAACCGGAGATCGGCTGAATGGATTCAAAAACGGTAAAACTCAACAGTTTAACTCTGGGGGAGTTGTAAAATGAGCCTATTTCCAAAAAAAGTGGAGTATCCCTTTAAATCAAGATGCTTTTACTAGATGAGTAACAATGCCATAGGATGTTATGTATGGAAGCTTGTTTCCGCCACTGAATTAAAAAAAATAATAATAATTGCGACTTTTTATCTCACAATTGCAAGATATGACGTCAGAATTGTGAGAAATAGTCGCAATTGCAAGATATAAAGTCGCAATTGTGAGAAATAGTCGCAATTGTGAGAAAAAAAGACAGATAATTCACTTCACTTCGCAATTCTGACTTTATAACACATAATTGCGAGTTTATATCTCGAAATTCTGACATCTGTTCTCAGAATTGTGAGATATAAACTCGCAATTGCGAGTAATCAGGCCAATTTTAAGGAAAAATAAGACTAACTTTTTTCCTCTCAGAATAGTTTATATCTCACAATTCTGACTTTATAACACGCAATTGCGACTTTATATCACGCAATTCTGACTTTATAACTCACAATTCTGACTTTATATCACGCAATTCTGACTTTATAACTCACAATTCTGACTTTATATCACGCAATTCTGACTTTATAACTCACAATTCTGACTTTATATCTCGCAATTCTGACTTAATAACTCACAATTCTGACTTTATATCTCGCAATTCTGACTTTATAACTCGCAATTCTGACTTTATATCACGCAATTCTGACTTTATAACTCGCAATTCTGACTTTATATCTCGCAATTCTGACTTTATATCACGCAATTCTGACTTTATATCACGCAATTCTGACTTTATATCACGCAATTCTGACTTTATATCACGCAATTCTGACTTTATATCTCGCAATTCTGACTTTATATCTCGCAATTCTGACTTTATATCTCGCAATTCTGACTTTATATCTCGCAATTCTGACTTTATATCTCGCAATTCTGACTTTATATCTCGCAATTCTGACTTTATATCTCGCAATTCTGACTTTATATCTCGCAATTCTGACTTTATATCTCGCAATTCTGACTTTATATCTCGCAATTCTGACTTTATATCTCGCAATTCTGACTTTATATCTCGCAATTCTGACTTTATATCTCGCAATTCTGACTTTATAACTCGCAATTCTGACTTTATATCTCGCAATTCTGACTTTATATCACGCAATTCTGACTTTATATCACGCAATTCTGACTTTATATCACGCAATTCTGACTTTATATCACGCAATTCTGACTTTATAACTCGCAATTCTGACTTTATATCTCGCAATTCTGACTTTATATCTCGCAATTCTGACTTTATATCTCGCAATTCTGACTTTATATCTCGCAATTCTGACTTTATATCTCGCAATTCTGACTTTATATCTCGCAATTCTGACTTTATATCTCGCAATTCTGACTTTATATCTCGCAATTCTGACTTTATATCTCGCAATTCTGACTTTATATCTCGCAATTCGCAATTCTGACTTTATATCTCGCAATTCGCAATTCTGACTTTATATCTCGCAATTCTGACTTTATATCTCGCAATTCTGACTTTATATCACGCAATTCTGACTTTATATCTCGCAATTCTGACTTTATATCTCGCAATTCTGACTTTATATCTCGCAATTCTGACTTTATATCTCGCAATTCTGACTTTATATCTCGCAATTCTGACTTTATATCTCGCAATTCTGACTTTATATCACGCAATTCTGACTTTATATCTCGCAATTCTGACTTTATATCACGCAATTCTGACTTTATATCACGCAATTCTGACTTTATATCTCGCAATTCTGACTTTATATCTCGCAATTCTGACTTTATATCTCGCAATTCTGACTTTATAACTCACAATTCTGACTTTATATCACGCAATTCTGACTTTATAACTCGCAATTACCTTTTTTATTTTTCATTCTGTGGCGGAAACAAGCTTCCATAGTTATGTCTTGTTTTCTGGGGAAAAAAATCTAAATGAAGTGAGTTTGCTTAAAAACAAGCAAAATGATCTGCCAATGGGGTAAGAAAAATAGTCTTGTTTCCGTTTGAATTATGATTATTTGTCTTACCCCATTGGCAGATAATTCACTACATTTTTATTTTTCCCCCCAGAAAACAAGACAAAACATCTTGCGTTTCCTGCATGATTCGCATGCGTATGAATCATGGAAGTCAGTGTAATGAGAAGTGTCATGTGATCACCTTAAAGGGATCGCTCACCCAAAATGGTGTTAATTTTGTTTCAATTTGTGATATTTAGTATAAACTATTATAATTTTTATTAATATTTTAAATTGGTTATTTTTTTTTGTACTTTCTGGTTTAAATTGTAAAGTTTTAGAAAATGTATGTTTTTGTCACTTTTATTAGTTGTTTGTTTTTGAAATGTAGTTTTTATTCATTTCTGTTTTAGTACATCAAGTTTAAATGAAACCTATTGCCTTGGCAACTAGCTAAAATAAATAATTTGTATTTTAGTTGAAATTTAAATTTCTTTCAGTTGACTAAATGACTTTAAGTGTTTTTCTGAGTAGCCGTGGCGCTCAGGCTCATGTAATGCTCAGTGTTGCTGTCGGTCTCGTTTGCTGGACGTGTAGGCGCTGAAGATCGCTCTGTCCCAGGCCAGTGGACTGGGAGACCCCGTGTTGGACGACTCGGTTTCTGAGCTGGTGGCGCAGATGCTCAGGTGACTTGATGCAAAATCCTTCAAACAATTATCAGAATCCACATTTTCTTTTCTAACAGTGTGTTTTTCAAGGCAGAGATCAGTTTATTCATAGCATTTTTGTATATATTTTTTGTTTTCGATGTCATCGGCTGAACATTCATGGCTTTGACAGCAAAACCCAGGCTGCTGTTTTCCGGGAAATGATCAACGACTCGCAGGCGTCGGCCGCCGAGCACTACGTCCCGTCGTACGAGCTGCAGGAGGGCGCCGTGGCCAGCCAGCTCATGATCATGGGCACCGATGACCTGATCGTGTCTGTTATGAGGTGCGTGAGTGACTGGAAGAGAGAGTGTGTGTGTGTGTCCGGTCCAGCTTCAACCCCGGTAAACACACCTGAACCAAGTGTTTTAAAGATGCGGAGGCTGGCCCTCCAGAAGCCGGATTGGACACCCCTCACTTATGCTGAACTAGTTGTTGATTGACATTCATGAATGATGTGATTTATGGTCTTAGCTCGCTAAACCGGCCGTTTGGGAGTCGCATCGTGACGCCCTCTGGGATCCTCCTCAACAGTCAGATTCTGGACTTCTCCTGGCCCAATAAAACCCACGGCTCTGCGGCCTTCAATCAGGTACGCTCGGATGCCCTCGCGTGGCTGAAACTGGCACACGCTTCACCACAACTGCCAATTCAACTTTTAAAGGGTTTTTATTTTCTGCATCCATTGATTTTGCTAATTAAAGTCATCCTGTTGTGCCATTTAGGGTTAAAAGGTGCTTTGAATTATTTAGTTTGCTTCCGCCAAAAGACGTGCCCTTTCTGCAGAACTGCTCCACAGAAAGTCATGTCAGCAAACCCCGATATGCCGTCTGAGAGCGATTCTGATTGGTTGAAAAAGACGATTTTCTGATTGGCTGAAAAAGACGATTTTCTGATTGGCTGAAAAAGACGATTTTCTGATTGGCTGAAAAAGACGATTTTCTGATTGGCTGAAAAAGACGATTTTCTGATTGGCTGAAAAAGACGATTTTCTGATTGGCTGAAAAAGACGATTTTCTGATTGGCTGAAAAAGACGATTTTCTGATTGGCTGAAAAAGACGATTTTCTGATTGGCTGAAAAAGACGATTTTCTGATTGGCTGAAAAAGACGATTTTCTGATTGGCTGAAAAAGACGATTTTCTGATTGGCTGAAAAAGACGATTTTCTGATTGGCTGAAAAAGACGATTTTCTGATTGGCTGAAAAAGACGATTTTCTGATTGGCTGAAAAAGACGATTTTCTGATTGGCTGAAAAAGACGATTTTCTGATTGGCTGAAAAAGACGATTTTCTGATTGGCTGAAAAAGACGATTTTCTGATTGGCTGAAAAAGACGATTTTCTGATTGGCTGAAAAAGACGATTTTCTGATTGGCTGAAAAAGACGATTTTCTGATTGGCTGAAAAAGACGATTTTCTGATTGGCTGAAAAAGACGATTTTCTGATTGGCTGAAAAAGACGATTTTCTGATTGGCTGAAAAAGACGATTTTCTGATTGGCTGAAAAAGACGATTTTCTGATTGGCTGAAAAAGACGATTTTCTGATTGGCTGAAAAAGACGATTTTCTGATTGGCTGAAAAAGACGATTTTCTGATTGGCTGAAAAAGACGATTTTCTGATTGGCTGAAAAAGACGATTTTCTGATTGGCTGAAAAAGACGATTTTCTGATTGGCTGAAAAAGACTATTTTTAGAGCGTATTATTGTCAGAGACGGGTGTGATTTATCAAGACTCATGTTTCAACTCTAAAATGTTTCCGTAAAAAGTGGTTGCCACGGTTTTACTCGAAAAAAGAATGGTGTCAAGATTTGAAGTTTTACCTAATTAAATTAAATGACCAATTTAAGTAATGTTAACACACCAAATTACTAAAATGTTTATTACTTTTTAGAATAAACTAACAACCACCTTAAAAACAGATAAATTCACATGATGAATCAAAGTAGCTTTTCTATTAACCGAAGTAAATACTATTAAATATGAAGTGTCATACCTAAATACATGCATCATCATAAAACACCATCATGGTTTACACTTACATAATGCAATAAACATTCACTTAACAACATATTTCACATAAAACCCTAATGTACATAAATGATATGAAAAAACAAAGATGAATTGGTTATTTAAAGGGACAATGTGTACTTTTTTTTTAGGTATTTTATTATTTAAAATCAATATTTTTATTCATAAATGTGTCCTAAATGGTGTACAAATACCTCTGCCAAGGATCTGACTCATCCTCGTAAACGAAGGATTTATTATCTTTATATACGGGACGGTAGGTCCACGGAGGCTTCCATGTCGTTCCGCCATCTTGAAAAACTATAATGGCAGAGAGGGATAAAAAGTACTAGGCCAACGCGTTTCCAGAGCGCATTTTCGTTCAGAGCCAGCGTCACGTGACTGAACGCAGCAAAAAAAAAATCCTATTCCTCTCCCTACTATTGAATCATCAGATGATGATATCTAACAATGCACGTACTTCAAAAAATATAACGAATAAATAATGCATAACTACTTATTACAATAGTTCATTTTTTCACAGTCAGTAATTCATACTGTAACATTCGTTTGTTCGTTGTTGCTGTTTGTTTGAAATAACAAACCTGTTCACCCGAAGGAACACTCGACGAAGTGCTATTGAAGACATCCTGGAATAGCTTTTTGGCACGTAACGGCTACCGTAGATGCAACGCGCATTTGAAAAAGCAAGGTGCAGAAGAGCACAGTTCGTTTGAATGCAAAATACATTTTCACCGCTAGATTGGAGAAATTCCTACACAATGTCCCTTTAAAGTGGTCATGAACTGGCTTTTTAAATTGTTTTATATTGTTGTCTGAGGTCAACTTATGACGTTCGCTTGGTTTTTACATTCAAAAACATCAAAATGAATAAGTAATAGGCTATTTTCTACCCTAGTTTTGAGCCTAGCTCAAAAACGCTCGGTTTTTATGGGCGTCTCGCATTGAAGACTTGGAAGTAAACGCCCACTGCTGTGAGTGGATAACAGTTTTGCATATTATAATGAGTTTGGTGTAATGCGCGAATCGGTGGGCGGGGCTAAACCGTCCGTGTTGAAGTAGGCGTTGATCTTCTCTTGCGGGGGTGGTGTTTTATCCTCGTTGTCGTCATAGTTCCCCACTTTGAAAAACGAGTCGTTTGCTGAGGCTGGTGTCAATAAAAGCTTTTATTGGACTAACAAGGACGTTTTCAGTTCTGAAACTTACAGGATATTATTATAATTTGATGACCTCTTAGATGTCAAAAGCTCAAGGAAAATTTGATTTCTCAGTTCATCACCCCTTTAAATTAAAAACCATCAAATGTGAAGCTTTACACACAGTATTCTGGGAATGTCTGTTTATGATTTTTCTCTGTAAAGTGTAAGATTGCTGGGGGGGGGGGGGGGGGGGTTTCACTTCCAAAACTTGCACATTTATGAGTTTCTCACCGTATGTGATCTTTGTGAGCCGATTAACAGTGTTTTACCGTAGACGTTTCCAGTGTTTGCCCGCTCGGACTCAGTGGTGTTTGAGTGTGTGTCCGGCTCGTAACGCGCTGCTCGTGTGTCCTCAGCGTAACGCCGTCGAGCCGGGCAAGCGTCCCGCCTCGTTCCTGATGCCGGTGGTGGTGAGGCCGTCGGTGGGGGTGTGTGGGACCTACATCGCCCTGGGCTCCTCGAACGCGGACCGCGCCGCCAGCGGCATCGCTCAGGTCAGGCCGGCCCCGGGGCGCGTCACATCACACACCTCGCCTCGCCGCGCTCGCCAGCCTCTCATTCTGCTGTGTGTTTCTGCAGGTGTTGATCAATGTCTTGTCATCACGCAAAAACATGAGTGACAGCGTGTCCTACGGGAGACTCCATCCCCTCATCCAGAACAACACCCTCCTGGTGGACTGTGAGTTACACTGCTATATTATAGTGCTACCATTCAAAAACAAGATTTGTGAAAGAAGTCTCTGTGTTTATTTCACCACAAATGCAGTAAAAGCAGTGAAATATTATTACAATTTAAAATCGCTGTTTTCTATGTGAATATATTGGAAAGTGTAGTTTATTCCTGTGATCAAAGCTGAATTTCCAGCATCATTACTCCAGTCTTCAGTGTCACATGATCCTCCAGAAATCACTCTAATATGAGGATTTCATGATCAAGAACATTTCTGATTATTATTATCAGTGTTGAAAACAGTCGTGCTGCTTCATATGTTCGTGGAAACAGTGGAAAGTTCAAAAAGAACAACATTTATTTCTTTGTAACATTATAAATATCTTTACTGTCCGTTTATTAAATGTAATGTGTCCTTGCTGAGTAAAAGTATCAATTTCTTTAGAAAAATTTACTAACACGAAACCTTCGTAAAAAGTTTTTAAAAAATTGTTAATGGCTGTGTCCGAAATCTCCCACTACTCACTATATAGTGGACTATACAGTGAGCTCGCCATTTTGTAGTGCTGTCCGAATGTATAGTGATGATTATTATACCCTATATAGTCCACTCAATGTATCCCTGAATGCATTTTGAAAAGTAGTGTACAACCAATGGTCACTAACCCAAGCCCTACATACCATCATGCATTGCGCTGATCGTAAAAGACCTATCAGCATCATCTTCATCTTTAACTTACAATTTGACGACGTCTCGCTAGCGTAGCAAGAACAGCACGTCGTTTTCTGTGTCTAGAAATCCTGTTTCTTTTGCTAATCCGCAAAATCTTCTGAATCACGAGAACAAACAAACAAAAAAGATTCATATTGAGTGGCATCTCCACAGAGTCTAAAAGCTGTTTTATTAAGAGTATTATGAGCAAGATATTTGATAACGTAGATCTGTTTTTTTTTTCCCTAATGTCGACAGGCAAGAGAAAACGGTGTGGCGCCAAAATGAAAATATATGAAATATGTGTATTCATTTTATTTATGTTTATAAGTTATAATCATGTGTGGAGTAACGCATTATAACAGAAACGGCCAGAAATGACTTTTAATTTTACAATTTTGGAGAAATAACCTCAATATAATGTAATGTATTTATAAAAAAAAAATCTATTTAGCCCAGAGCTGGCTCGGCACCAGCTGACAGATGATGGCGCGTTTAATCAACGGCGCCGAGAGACGATCGAGTAGTGTCCGAAAGTGCTGTTTCTATTATGCTGCTGGTGAGCTCACTATATAGTGCTCTACTCCCTACCCCCTACATAGGGGTTAGGGAGTAGTGGTTTGAGTGGAGATTTCGGACACTGCCAATGTTAACAATTGAAACACTGAGAAGTACACACTTTATATCCTCTACAGGAAAGACAAATAATAAATCATCGCATTATAAAAAAAATAATAAGTACACAAGTTGTAATGTAATCATCATATTTATACATATAATATAAATTAACACATTTTCCTAAATATATACATGCGTGTGTGTGTATTTTTATATATTATATATACACAAATTAATTTTACACACACACACACAAATTGTGTAAACACAAACTTTTATTTTGGATGCGATTAATCGCAATAAATCCTTGCCCAATATATGGAATTAAATCAATAACTGCAAACCAACGTTTGGCTTTTTAATATGATGAACATTGTTGATTTGATTAATGCTTGAAAATGACAAACTTTAAAGTGTTTTTATACATGCTGTATGTTGGTACCATTGTTATGAAGACTGTAAACCTCACACGAACAGAGAATATAAAATGCAGCATCAAAGTTCTTCAAGGTTAAGCACAATCTGAAATGCAAGAGCCCTGTTTTGTGCCCTTCATGTGTGTCCTATAGTGTGATGCGCCGCTCGTGTGTGAGTGTCCGGGTGGCGTTGCGCTGTAACTGCTCTGATGTGTGTGTGTGCAGCGCTCTTCCTGCCGGCGGACGAGGCGTCTCTGACCCAGAAGGGCCACGTGGTGCAGAAGGTGGACATCATCTCGCTGGTGGAGGGAACCCGCAGGACCAACGACCTGATCATCGGCGTCAAGGACCCGCGCAGCAGCGACGCCTCCGCGCTGTCCATGGCCATGCCCTAGACTCACACACACACACACACACACACACACATACGGGAGCTTGTAGATAGACACGGGATTGTACTGTCATACTGGTTGTGCATTAAATGGGCGAGTTATGAGGACAGCGAGTTAACACTCCTGCTGATGATGAAAATGAGCCACACACACACAGAGAAACAGCTTGCATGCGCACATGATCACATGATCACGATGGCCGCTTGTGAAAGGCTGTAAGAAATTTGCAGTGCTTTTTCATCATTATTTCCAGAACTACTCTTCGTGACACGGGCATGTTATTCTCTCTCCGCTTGAGCATGAAAACTGCTCCGACACACACAGTGCCTGTCAAGACTTCTGGACATAACCACTCATTATTTATTGATATTTTCTTCATTGTGGAGTTATAGTAAAGTCATCAAAACTGTAAAATAACACAAAAGGAGGCATGAGAATTATGCAGTGGCCAGACAGACAGAGCCGCACGATTCTGGCTAAATATTATTATTTGTTCACAATTCTGAACTGCATTTACTAGAGGTTCTGACAAAATGTTAATTGCTATTTAAAAAATATTTAATACATTTGAATTTTTGTTTTGTTTTGTTTTCAGTTTGAACTGAAGGAATGATTCATTAGGTGTGTTGGACTTCATTCATTAGGTGTGCTGGACTTTAATCTCATCCACCGATCGATCTGCACCACTTCAAGTCCAGCACACCCAACGACTCGCTCCAAGACTTCACTGGTTTCATTACTGGATGAATAAGCGTTTTTAAAGAATCTCTTGAATGAATTATTCAAAGACAAATACATTTTTAACAGTCTCTTGTCGCCACCTATTGGTGTAATGATGTAACTGATCACTACCGTAGACATCAGTGTTTATGCAAACTATAAACTTTAACCCCAGTACTTCTGCGATAATTTGAATTATTTTAACACAGAGATAATGAAACTGGTTGAAAAGACTGTTTGAGTTTCTTATAACACGATAACCGCTCTCTCTGGATCAGCGGCAACTCAGATCTGGACCGTTTGTCATGTAGGAAAGAAATCGTGTGGGTGTTTGAATCGTGATCGCAAACTTTTAACAATTAATCGTGCAGCTCTACCTAAAAAATAAATAAATACATTTAAATATTCAAGCGTATTTCTGTCCGGACCAGTGAATAACCCGTGTTGGAGATGTTCCCGGTATCAGCTGCAATACATCCATCCTGGAAGATCATATTACATAAATTATTTTAAGAAACATTTTCGTTGTGTCCAAACTTTTAACTTGTACTGTATATTCCATTGTCTTTTTATTAGCATAATTACTAGCTCTTTGAGGATTGTGTGGGATTATGCGAATGACTCCAGGGTTAGGGAAAGGAAAATGGAGGGATTTAAAAAAAAAAAAAAATGTTTCAAAATGTTGGATCTATGAAGTCTTCGCGAAGAAGTAGCTTCACAAATGTGAGTACATGTTACATGAAGGGGGTGAAAGTGAATCTGACAATCTTGCAATGACAGAGAGGGTAAATGCTGCTGTTTACAAATTAATTATGTATATTGATTATAGAGGGTTTGGTGGTAAATTTATAGTCTTATTTTATTAGCCAAGGAAATGACCTAAAATGAATTAAGCTAATAAATTGTAGCCTACGAGGCAAATAAGATGGATTTTCCTACAGTTATGTGTCATAATCTTTCACATGCTATTTAATAAATATAGGCCTATCATAAGGGCTTCAACAGTTTTTATTTTTAAATTGTGGTTGTCAGTTTGCTGATGTAGTTTTAACGAGTTGTCTCTTTAATGTGAAAACAGTGAAATTAATGCCTTGCATGTTTGCTGCACATTATTTTCTGAGAGACAATCAGTTGACTAGCATTTATGTGTGTTTTTCTCTCAAATGAACAATTGCACTGTAACAGCATACCTGTTGTGTTTAGTAGCTTTACAATGAGAGCGGCCAAAATGAAGAATAAATATTTATGTGTAGTTTCGTTGTATTATTTCCAAACTCATTGTTTTGTGCCTCCTATAGGCTACTATACTATAATCAATGCTTTGCTCATGTAGGCTTCCAACCACTCGAAGGATTAGTTTAGAGATAAATTCGACTAAAATGAAATTATTTCATTTAAAAAAGTCCCCACAACGTATCAGATAGTCTTTTTTATGCTAATAAATATTTTGTTTTTGTTAATTTTATAAAATGATTTTTAAAAAACGACAGTCTAATGACAGTGAATGAATGAAGAAAACTAAAAGAAAAACAATAAAAAGATGAAATTAGATCATAAAATTAACATATTATTAACATTAGATTAAAACTATCGATAACCGTCGAGAAAATCGAGATGTTTGTTAATTCCGTGGATAATGTATGTATTAACATGAAGCTGCAATGCCAATGCAAACTTTCATTTTAACAGCAAAATGAAGATGTTAATTCAGCAAAGTGGTCACAACACCTTTTTTCGGTTTTCTTTTTTGGAGTTCGTGAAGCGGAACCTGTCACACCTGTGTCTTTCTGGCGAGCGTTCACTTCCGGTCACCTAGCCCCGCCCCTTCGGTCACCGTGTTTTGGGCCAGCGATTTTTCTGTGTGGATATTTCTGTGATTTCTGTGTGGACGTTACTGGACCCTAGAGCGGGCGCGCGCACGCACAGCGCTCAACTTACGTGCACAGCCGCCTCGAGAGCGCGCCGTTAGCGTCTGTTAGCATTTACCTGTTTACTGCAGCAAAACCACTCCTGATGGACTGACAACGGTGAGATTTTACCACCTCATTGCCTCATAGAAACATTAGCATGAAATTAGCCCGTAAGTGTGTGCAGTGCACGGGGGAAACAGCCGTATATTAGTGTGATAGCGACTCTGTGTTTGTGTAGCTAATGCATTAGCCTGAGTGAGGTAAACTCATTATAATAATGCAGGTGTTCGTTACGGTGTTATTGTTTGGATTGCACGTACCAGATATGAGCTTTAAACTCGTTATAATATTGTGTTGTTTGTCTTGCGCTTAAGTGATGTGGTTTGTCTTTTTTTTGTTATGGCTAATGCTAATGCTAGAGAAATAACCCAAAATGAAGCTTTTGAGTGAAGTCATCACTAATTGCAAGGACAATAATATTCGAGGTGTTGTGTAATAGATATTTATCAGTCACAGTGTGCAGTGAAACCCCTCTCTGTGTTTCTGAAGGCTCCTCATACCAATATCTGACATCTCATTAGAAGTGCCAGGAGTTATCATAAAGTATCAGTGTTGTTTCACTGAGTGGCTGATATGTTATCAAAGTATCATATATTACCATTTTGATAATACCATCCCTATACCATGGTATCGACCACAGTACTTCTTACAATTACAAGGCTGGCTATTGTTGTAGTACACTTTAAACTACTTAACCGGGTTTCTTCATAATATAACTAATGTTCTGTCACTGTTTCCTGTTGTCTTGCTTTGTGTATTATGAAATATTGTATGAAGTTGTTTTAGCATTTTCTGTTTAGGAGCTAATGCCGTAAATGGCATTGCTTCATTTTGAAGAATACATCAAAATTGCCATTAGGGATGCACGATATATCGGCCACCTAAATCGGTATCGGCCGATATATTATTTTTAACGATAGCCGATAACCGAATTCAAATTCAAAACATTTATTTCGAACAGATTACTGATTCTGAGGAGCAAGATGGTCCTAATAAATCCAGTTTCCATTAAAAACATCTTTCTGTAACGAGCAGTTTTGCGAATCCCGCATTGAACTCCGAGATTTGGCTGTAATCGACCAAAGAAAATCTTGGTCGACTGAAGTCCTGAAATCTCGATTAAAAATCGATGGTAGGAAGAAAAAAAAAGCGTTATATTAATGAGCTGCGCAGTACTTGGTAGCCTTGTCCGCCTAAATGAATTATAAATAAACATTAAAACTAGTAGGCTATTTCCAGTTATTTTGCACTGAAATGACACACTCGAGTCTGTCGGCTCTGACAGCGTTGCGTCACGTGCGCAATATCATAGCCTATGATTTCTGAAAAAAGTACTATGTCAACTAGTGATATCAGCACAAGAACTGTTGAGGAATATGCGACATAATTTAGACAATTGTTTTAGTCATATGTTATAATAACTGACAGACACTATAATTTCAGCCGCGCTGAGACACGAATAGACTATTAACTTAAAGCTTTTACTCTTCAAAAATCAAAAGGCACATCCACTTTAATAAAAACATGATATTTATTAAACAAACCAGATCAAGACGAGAGCAGAAACGAAATAAAGTGCATAACTGAAATATAAAGCTTAGGCTCAAAACAAATACAAACTGTGGGCACAGCGCAATCGCGCATTAGGTTTAGGCATTGTAGGGGTGTAATGGTTCACAAAATTCACGGTTTGGTTCGATACGAGACAGTGGTGTCACGGTTCGGTACATTTTCGATACAGCAAAAAGAAAGAAATGCCAGAGAAATTTCCCAATGTATTAAAAGAAAAAATATTTTTAAATAAGTTTGAGTTTTCCTACATCTTGAAACGTTCAGGTTTATAAATGGGAGTAATCTTTGAAGGATGAACTAATAATGTTTTGGTCATCACATTAAAAATAACATTTAAATATAGGCCTATATTTATATATATAATATTTAGATAATATTTGCCAGCGCGGATTTTGTCGGCAGGAAAAATGGTTCGAGGGATCGTTCGGTTTGTATGCGTACCGAACCGGAAGCCTCGCACCGAAACGGTTCAATACGAATACATGTACCGTTACACCCCTAAGGCATTGGGTTGGGCTAATCCAAAAAAAGTGAAAACAAGGGGGGTGTTCTGCAGACAGACTGTTACCTGTGAAACAGCGGTGCTCTGAAAACACCCCCATTAGCAATTAGTGCTTTCCACCTGATGAAATTAACACGGCAACAAATCGACCAATCATAATTTTGGTCGAGCCAGAGCGTAGTCGACTGGGAGATTACAGCCCTAGAGATTTGAGGTCGTCAGTAAAGTGGCGGGTCAGGTTGTCCGCGGCCAGACAACGTACAACATGACATATGCACTGTCTCATCTAGTGGCGGGGAAGCGTACAGCAGAGGGGTTTGAGTTCCC